CTAAACCCCAAACCCTAGACCCCTTTAAAGGTGAGGATGCGCTACCTCATCGAGCTCAACAACTTCGAAAGCCCCTCTGAGAAGTTGGCCCGCGAGAAAGCCGAGGCTGAAGCCCGCGGCTCCTCGGTGGGTTTAGGGTTGAGGGCTTACTGTAGGGGTTGAGGGCTTAAGGGTTTAGGGTTTAAGAGTTTAGGGCTTTAGGGTGTAGGGTTTTGGGTTTAGGGTTCGGGGGTTTAGGGTTTAGCAGTTTATCGAAATTGTTAAGGGTTTGGGTGTCAAGAACGTTTCGACAGAAACGTGTTGACCGAAAGAGTTGAGCCGGTGTTCCTTTGGAACCCTCCTAAACCCTAAACCCATTCTTTTCGAGTTGCTTGGCCGGGTAATGCGGCTGGGCTGGGCTGAGCCTGGCTTAGGATGGGCCAGCCTCCGGGTTGGGGTTTAGGTTTTAGGGTTTAGGGTTTGGGGGCTGGGTTGGTACCTGGCGGGGGGGTTTGTGCTGGGCTATCGCGGGTGAAATACAACAGGTTTAATACAACAGGTTTCCGGATGGCCAACAGCAACAAGCAAGTGCTGTGTATTTCTTTCAGGTTTAAGGGTTTAGGCTTCAGGGTTTAGGGCTTAGCGGCTTTTGAGGTTTTTGAAAAGAGCTCTTGAAGGCTTCTCTGTAAGGGGTTAAGGGTTTGGAGTTTGGGGAGTTGCAGGTTTCAGATGCAGTGTATGTAGTTTCTTGTTGGGGTTGTCGGGTTAAGGTTTGGGGTTACTTTCAGTTCAGATTTAGGCATGGTTTCTGTTTAAGCTGGAGGCCCTCAAGCGTATGATCTTAGTAATACTATTCCATTGTGCCGTGAAAATGGAACCGCTAGTTGTTGCTGGTCATCTTGGTAATCTTGCTTTGCTGGATGTACCGGCGGGGTTCGCTTGGTCATCTTGGTAATTTTGCTTGTGCGGCCCACTTGGGTCCACTTGGTTGCCAATATTGGTCATCTGTGTCTGGGGGCGGAGGGCAAGATGACCAAGATGACCGGTCATCTTGTCCGCCCCCTCGCAATACCAAAATTATCAAACTGGGCCCGCCAACCCCCTCCCCCACCCTGGAAAACAGCACAAAGCAAGATTACCAAGTTGACCTGACCGGTCATCTCCCCGGCCCTTTAGCGGTTCCACTCCCGGCACAATGATTCCACGGTGCTGGGAAAATGGAACCGCTAATTGTTTACTCTTCCTTAGGGCTCCCTATAAGAATGATACTAGAAGATACCCACGAGGCCCAAAAAGAATCCTAAGCCTTCCAAGACCATGAATCCTAGTCTGAGGCGAAGCACATCCCGCCAAGAAGTTCAAGCCGCCTACGCCTCCACCACAGTCTGAGTCGGAGGACGACGACGATGAAGAGGAGGATTCTGATTGCTCGTAGATACGTGCTCCAACTGTCATGAACTGCTACTTGGGCTGTCATCGCAAAGAACTTAGCCCTTCTACCTCGGGACAACAAGATGCGAGGCTTCTGCGATATGTAGCACCACATGCAAGCATTGCACTGTCTTTGCATTTGAAGAACAAAGCAGCATCCCTCACCGTGCACCCATAGACTGGCCGCGATCTTGTTCCGAAGTTGTATGGTCGGTTGTGTCGCGCACACAGCAGATAGATGCTTGCGGCTGACCAGGGTCGCAATGCACACGGCCGTGAACCCTAGGCCCATCTGGGACACCTGCGCAGCACAAGACCTGTACAGTAGTCTAGGCGCATGTGTCTTTTTCTCTTAGCTTCCACGGGAAGCCGTGGCGTGTTCAGGGTAGCGACCTCGTAGTTGGCGTGCGGCGACTATACTTCGTGGCAGCTTGATGGCTTTTCGGTTTGCAACCTGATTGTCAGCTTCGTGGTCGCTGCCCCATGACGTTTATTCGATTAACATCCATCACAGCCCATCGCTCAAGGCTTTGGCAAACAATCGCGCCAATCATATATGCCTGCGTCTCCTAAATATCGGTTGGGAGATTGCACTCTTCAGCACGGGATAGGATATTTTTGCAGCATGGTATAGGCTGTGGGTTGGCCTGAATCCCCAATATCTATGATAGATTTTATGATTATTATGATTATTATATATATATATTTTTTGTATCTTTTGTAAGATTAAGATTTAGATATCATTGGATGATTACGAATTGAGCATTGATTTAAAGGACCTTGCGGGCGGATTTATATAAAATGGTTTTATGATATTAAAATATGATATTAAAATATATATATATATATATATTTATGATATAATTCTACGAAAGGGAAGCAAATATTAACGAATATTTTCTATAAGAGATTTGGGACCTAGGAGATTCATATAGAATAAATAATCATATTATAGAGATATTCTTTATTTTTAAATATCTAGAACTAGGATTTGAAATTTGATGATATATAATAAAGAAAATAATAGGCGCGTTATTAGATTATTAAATTAGTTTCAATTAGAATAAGGCAAATTAGAAAATAATGATAAATTTTATATAAAAGAATTGAGAAAGATATTGGGAAAATTCATCTAATTTTTATAATATTAGGATTATAATTGAATAATTCTCGAATTCTTGATTTTGATATATTAAGATATAGATTGATTGAATTATATAATTATTTTTCTTGATTATGTTAAATATTATTATGGTAATTATATTAATGATAATTATATTAATTATGATATTTTCTGCTATTCTTTCTTTCTGATATTTGAAATATTTAAATATTTTAGGTGAAAAATCTATTATTATAAATCCGACAATAAATATAACTATTAATAATATTTCTATACTTACTATTAATATATCGCACAAAAAAGAAGATGAAAATCTTATAAAAAGAAATTAATAATGAATGAATATCCATCAAAATTTCGTAATAATAACTAAATCGAAGATAATTATAGAATCTAGATTTTATTAATTGCCTTGGAAATCGATAAAATCTCCCCCAAAAATGATATATTTAAAAAATATATCATTTATGAGGAATATAGATTAATCATGATTTTATTTATATTGATATTATGATTCCCTGCCATCGTCGTTCCTGAGAATCCTAGATTCAGGATCGGGTATGGCGGCCGGAGACGGCAACTTTCGATTGGGCGGAAGATGGGAGACGAGGATCACCGCAGATTGACTCTCTGAAGCTTACGAAAGTATGTGTTGGACCAGCAATTTTTGAGTGGATAGGCGGCTAACCAATCGATTTCCTAATCGATGCTCACCAGGTCGTTTTGTGACCTATTGCCCATTCTGATGTAATTTACGTTTAGAAGAAAGGGTAGCTAAAGGGCAGGTAAAGGGAAGTAATGGGCAATAAAAGGCAATCAAGGGCAATAAGAGGTAAGAGAGGGCAGTGAAAGGCAACAAGCAAAGGATAATAAACTATAGAAATAGGATAGCAATAGGAAATAAAGAATATTAAAGGGAAGGGCAGAATAAACTATAGAAATAGGATAGCAATAGGAAATAAAGAATATTAAAGGGAAGGGCAGNNAGGGAAGGGCAGGGAGATTATAAATAGGATCAGTGAGATTAATGATCTTCTTATTTTCATAAAAATAAAATGATTCATTATAGAAATATTAAATCATCTATGATCAAGCAAAATATAAGAAATTTGGACAAGTACTCCTATAAAGAATATTCTTCTATGAGAAAGAATATAGGTTATCGATTAATTCTCTATATTAGAAAATTTTTTTTAGAAATATATATTATTATAATAGATCATAGAAATATTTTTAATTTAATATTTTGAATTATTTAAAATAAAAAAAAAATATATATTTTTTTTTCAATCGATTTGGAAAATAATAATGAAATAAATGATTTGAT